GGCATTAGCATCAGAGAGGCTAGCTACTAGCATGGATAAGCTGGAGTTAGCATCAGAGAGGCTAGCTACTAGCATGGATAAGCAGGCGTTAGCATCAGAGTGGCTAATGACTAGCATGGATAAGCTGGCATTAGCATCAGAGAAGCTAGTGACTAGCATGGATAAGCTGGAGTTAGCATCAGAGAGGCTAGCTACTAGCATGGATAAGCTGGAGTTAGCGTCAGAGAGGCTAATGACTAACATGGATAAGCTGGTGTTAGCATCAGAGAAGCTAGTGACTAGCATGGATAAGCTGGCGTTAGCATCAGAGAAGCTAGTGACTAGCATGGATAAGCTGGTGTTAGCATTGGAGAGGCTAGTGATTAGCATGGATAAGCTGGCGTTAGCATCAGAGAGGCTTGTGACTAGCATGGATAAGCTGGTGTTAGTATTGGATAGGCTAGTGACTAGCATGGATAAGCTGGTGTTAGCATTGAAGAGGCTAAAGACTAGCATGGATAAGCTGGAGTTAGCATTGGGGAGGCTAGAAATTAGCATGGATAAGCTGGAGTCAGAATCAGAGAGGCTAGTGACTAGCATGGATAAGCTGGAGTTAGCATCAGAGAGGCTAGCGACTAGCATGGATAAGCTGGCGTTAGCATCAGAGAGGCTAGCGACTAGCATGGATAAGCTGGTGTTAGCATCAGAGAGGACAGTGATTAGTCTAGATAAGCTGGCGTTAGCATTGGAGAGGCTAGTTCTCCAATGCTAACACCAGCTTATCCATGCCTAGCCTCTTCGATGCTAACACAAATGAATATTGTTCTTCTCATCTGCCAGTGCCGGCCTCTCAGTTACTCTGTGTTCATTATTCTGTCAAACCAAACGTTGACAATGAAAAGTAACAAAATATTAAATAGTTTTCTTTACAGAAGAAGCTTGATTTACATCAACAATTGTTAAAAATTTGTTAGAAATCTTCAAGAGTCTTAAATTAATCTGTTATAGAAATATTTATTTTTTAAGAACCAGAGAGGATCTAATCCTGGAAGACAACAGTCCAAATTAAACAAATTAAACAAATAAAATAAATAAAACGGTTCTTCTGACAGAGGGAAAAGAAAAGTTGAGCCTTTAAGCTCCCAGAACCTGAAACCTGACTGGAGCTGTAGAGGAAACTCAGGTCGTGTTTTTGCCCTGCAGGAAGATTGATCAGTTTCAGCCACAGCTCCATAAATACGACCTTCATCAAATAAAAATGAGAAAAACCCTCGTCTGAATCTTAAACACAAAAACACATCGACTGAACTCTGCAAATGAACATGTCCTGATGCATTTTAAAAACTAGATTCAGAGTTCAAATTTAATTATTAATTAAAAATTTAATCTTCAGTTAACAAAAATACATCAAAATTTAAGAAACTTTTAAATGTGCAATCAGTCAAACTGTCGGCATGTTTTAGTTGTTTCTCTGCTCCTCGTTCATTCAAATCATAAACATCTGAAACATGCAGGATGATGGTCCTGCAGGACCAGGACCAGGACCAGGACCAGGACCAGGACCAGGACCAGGACCAGGCACCACGGGGTTAAAAGCTTTGTGGGAACCTTTCGTCAGTCATGTTAAATAACGTAAAAAACATAAAATAAAGAAAGTTTTGAACACGTGTGAGTCTGTGTGAGAAGAACGATGAAGAGGAGGATGTGAGGATCGATGAAGCGACAGAGGAAGAGGAGAGGATGAAGGGCAGGAAGGCAGGTGATGGTGGCAGGTCAGTGTGACCTCCAAATAAAAACTAAAAATCTAATTCTTTTAAATTTGTTTCCAGGTTTAAAACATCAGGAGGAACTTTTGAAGAAAATAAAGGTTTTAATCTTTGAGTTTGTTGTTATTTTGGATAAAAACTGAAATGTTTAATAATTTAACACCCTGCTTTTTTTAAACTGTTTTGAAAATTCTTCTTTCCTGTTTGAAGCAGAGGTGTAAATCTGAGCAGCATCTCTACCTGCTACGACTGAGGACACAACAAGTAATATTATCTCTAAAAACATAAAGAAACACACAATTATCTACTTAGATAAAACAGTTATTGGTAGTCTCGATTTCAAACTCCATTATTTTAGTAATTTGAGGATCAAAAGAGTTAAAAGTTTCAGCTTTCAAGGGAAAAAAACAACCAAATTAAATAGTCCCAAAATGATTTACTTTTTAATCAGCTTGTTTAATTTTACTTGTTTTTAATCATTAGAAATATAAAAAACTGGTGCTTAATGAGAACTGGACTGAAACCTATGATGTGAGTTAAAAACTATTTAAAATGACTAATTAATCAAAAACAGTATTTAACAGAAACCCTAGAATCAGTTTCATCTGTTCTTTTCACAGAAGCATAAACAAAAACTGAATATTAAAGGGATCCATGATTAGTTGTAACATTAGACTTAATAAACATTTATTTTAACTGTAAAATAAAAACTGTAAAAATACTGTAGGATGTTTAGTTTTGATGACTTTTAAGTTTAAAAATATATTACATGGACGGGGCCATTTTATTTCCACATAAAGCATTCTGGGTAAATGATGACGTGGATAGGTCCTCGGTGCGAGGCTGCTAGCGAGCTATATCCACCCTGAAGGTTAATCTTGGACAATATCTGATGATCGACTCTTTTAAATGAAACCAGAGAGCGTTGACAGAGAGGAGAAGGTAGAAATGACTCAGCCTGGAACTGAAAATATGGATGGAGGACAACAGAGCTGCTTCATGGAAGAACAACCTCAGCTTAGCCTGTTAGCTTTAGCATTAGCCCCGATGCTATCACCATATATATGTATTAGCTCAGGGCTACACATTCTCCTCTCGTCACTGAGCTCCTCCATCCACATGACAGAGAGGGGAACACAAAAATGACTCAGCTGTAACTGAAAATATGAATGGAGGACCTCAGTTTAGCTTGTTTGTTTGTCACGCTAGCGTTGGTGCTAACGCAAAAGCTAACAGGCTAAGCTGAGGTTGTTCTTCCATGAAGCAGCTCTGTTGTCCTCCATCCATATTTTCAGTTCCAGGCTGAGTCATTTCTACCTTCTCCTCTCTGTCAACGCTCTCTGGTTTCATTTAAAAGAGTCGATCATCAGATATTGTCCAAGATTAARCTTCAGGGTGGATATAGCTCGCTAGCAGCCTCGCACCGAGGACCTATCCACGTCATCATTTACCCAGAATGCTTTGTGTGGAAATAAAATGGCTCTGTTTGTGTTAAAATATATTTTAAAAAATTTACTAAATTAAACAGCCTACAGTATTTTTACAGTCTTTATTTCACAGTTAAAATACATGTTTATCAAATGAAGTCTAATGTTACAACTAATCGTGGATCCCTTTAACAAAGAATGAAATCATTCAGGGGAAAAAAACCTCATGAAATCTTGTCACACAATCCTAAAACTGTTGTTTTCAAAGAGAAAAGATATAAAAATGTTGCTTCTTTCACCATTTTAGAGAAACCAAGCAGCTCCTGTTGCTGCTGCGACACTTTCAGGTCGTTTCTCTCAGCTGGGACTATTTAACCAGACCGTTGTTGGTGCCTAACACCAAAAAGTTCTCTATAAACGTGTGTTTGGACAGAGACTACCAATCATTCCTGTCCATGACGAAGGATAAAACTCTGACCTTCGCTCTGCTGCGTACCTGCGCTTGAAGGTGAGGATGACTCCCAGGAGGATGATGATGAACATGAGAATCCCCGCGATCACTCCGGCCATCTTCACCGTGCTGTCCACCTGCTTCTCCGGCTCCATGGCATCCGAGTCTTGTGTGGATGCACCTGAGGCCACACACACACACAAACACACACACACACACACGAATACGAAGCAGTGAAATCAGTGAGCAACATAAACAAACGTAAGCAAACACACTGAGCAATAATTCACACGCACGTCCTCTTAATGCACAACAAACATACATTAGTCAGCTGCGAGGGAAACAGCATCGTTAGTGGAGATATGTCAAAGCACTTCATCCATTTGCACAAAACCAAAAACAACTCAGAACAAATGATGCAGGGGAGGAGAACGCCACATGCAAATGATCCAAATATGTGAGAACTGTCTCTCTGCAGGACGACGGGAGGAATATGAAGTGTTTTTTTTTAGTTTATTTATAAAACCTTGACATGAAAAGCAGCTGAAGGTGCATTCCTTCGAAGAACTCCATTATGATGTTTTAATTATGAAAAACTTTTGTTTTTACGAAACGTCTTAAAGAAGTCAGTGTGGCGACTCGTTTTATGTTTTTCTTGTGTTTAAGGTGTTCTGTGTTTCTTTAACTGTATTAGAGTTTGGTTTTTTTGGGAGCTAAATCGACTCAAACTTGTGATGATTGGTGTAAAAAGCCTGAATCAAAAACCTGAAATAAATCAGAAACCCACAGATCTAATGGATTAAAACCTGTAGATTTTAAAGAGCCTGTGACATGTATATACTTCAAATACAAAAAGTCAAACAAAACTTCTTTATACTTAAGAAAATTGCCCTAATACACATGATTTTACCCATTTTGTCACATAACTGGCCTATTTTCTTTTGAATTTGTCTCAGCCAAAGTGAAACAGGAAGTGACATCAAAGGGGAACTCATTAATAAAATAAAATCTTTGGTCTTTGTTTATTAAAACAATATCATTTAAACTTTAACTCCTCTTCATCTCTGATTGTGACTCAAAATAATGTAAATAAACATCAGATTCTTCTCTACAGTCTGTGTTGTTAGCCGTTGTAGCAATGATCTGTTTACATGCAGACATTCCCCTTTGACATCACTTCCTGTTGTTTTACATGCAAATATCTCAACAACTGTTCATTTCAGCGACGTGAAATTTGTTTTACAATATGTTATCAAAATTATCTTTCCAAAAATGCATTCATGTTTATCTCAAAAGTTTGATGCCACAGCCCCTTTAAAAGCTACAAAAACTCGTGAACTCATGTTGATGCAGCGCTGCAGGAAGAAGCGCCGTTGTTTAAAGTTAAAATAAACACCTGCCTGGACAGCAGGGCCCGAGGCCTCCAAACTAAACCTTGCCCAAAGCTTTGCACTGCCTTCAGCTTTCATAATTCATGATGCTTTTTCAACACAGACCATAAAATAAACAAAAATACAGCAAGAAAACTGTAAAGTTAGGAAGCTCTCCAAGAAAACAAGAAGTTTTTGCTGCAGGTTTTCTTGCTTTAACTCTGCACCTGCTGGACTGTAGCAGAAATGCCCACTCAGGTAACATCTGACAAGCTGAGGGTCCTGAACCACACAGGAGGGTTTTTAGTTTCTGAACGGAGAAGGACAAATAAATCCAAACAAAGTGCCACTACACTGTAAAAGAGGAATGGTTCAAACACTACAACAGTAGAAAGAAAAAACAACTACAAATCAAAGAGTCGCGCACTAAACGCTCCTGTTTCTGCAGACTCCAGCCCTAACCTTCATAGACAAAGACAGCCGATTAATAGAGTAATACTGCTGTGTGGGAGTTCAGTTAATCCCTTGTCTCTCTCATCTTCACCCCCCTGTGCAATAACAACACAAGGCTGGCAGCAGAATCACACCCAGCTAACGGCTTAAGCACCTAACCTTGGCAGGCTTGGTAATAGCTGCTGCAGTCCTCAACATCTGCGCTGACGACATCTTCTTTAAAAGAAATAAATAAAAAGCTTGAATGTCCTCAGGGACAGTCTTCATCACAAACAGACAAACGTCTTCACGGTGTTGAAAAAATACAGGTTTAATGCTGAAACAGAAGTCCCACTTCACCTCGTGTCAAATATCATCCAATCAACATTTGATTAGAGGATTGCAACACAAAGACCAGACTGAGGGTCAGAGCAAACAAAGACTTCAGACAAACTCACAACACCCTTAACCTGATCAGGGTTTACTAAACATCAATCTAACCTGCAATAAAACGATTAAAAAGACTGTGAGGTTATAATTTTTAACCATACATACCAACCCATTCTCACTCCCGAGTCGCCACATATTGACGCTTTTCTAAACTTCCCACTGCGTCCGATTTTGACGCGTCGGGTACTCCCCTTGTGTCATTTTTTGACGAGATGGGGCGGAATCTGTTGTCATAATTTCTGAAAATGTAGAAAATGCACAGAAACTACCGTCCCAAAGCCTAAATGTACCTTTATTCACTTTAGACATCCTGTCCCTGACCCTAGTGCCTAAAATTAACCATTTCTAGAAAATGTAGGAAATTCACGTCAGCTACGTGTTCCAAAGCCTAAAATTACCTAATATTAGCTGTAGACATCCTATCCCTGACCCCAGTCCCTAAACTTAACCATTTATCCTGATCCCTCATGTTAACCTCAGACCCCCGACCCAAAGACCCCTGGTGGAGCAAACTGGAAAAGCCGCGGGCGGCAAGGACTGACGCGAGGGGGTCACCTGACACGGCAAAATAAGACGCAGAGGGCACTCTGGAAAAGCGTCAATATGTTGATGAGTCGGGAGTGAGAATGTGTTAGATATACGCAAAAAGTGCAGAATAATGAACATTAGTGTTGCGGTCCAGACCACCGACTGGACCAAGCGAAGACCAAGACCAAGGGAGGGTGAGACCAAGACCAGAAAAATGGGGTCTTGAGTACTACAACAGTAATGAACATTATATAAATACTAGAAGTGCAACAATCCATGTATCTGTATGGATCAATACACACTATGTACGGAACAATACACACTGTGTATGGAACAATGCACACTGTGTATTGTTCCATACACACTATGTACGGAACAATACACACTATGTACGGAACAATACACACTGTGTATTGTTCCATACACACTATGTACGGAACAATACACACTATGTACGGAGCAATACACACTGTGTACGGAGCAATACACACTGTGTATGGAGCAATACACACTGTGTACGGAACAATACACACTGTGTACGGAACAATACACACTGGGTACGGAACAATACACATTGTGTACGGAACAACACACACTGTGTATGGAACAACACACACTGTGTATGGAACAACACACACTGTGTACGGAACAACACACACTGTGTACGGAACAACACACACTGTGTATGGAACAACACACACTGTGTATGGAACAACACACACTGTGTATGGAACAACACACACTGTGTATGGAACAACACACACTGTGTATGGAACAACACACA